AAGATATTTTTCCCAGTACTTACTTAAAATAATCTAAAGAAAGGGGATAAGTACAGATAATAAGAAAGCATTGAGCTCCTAATTATTTAGGCTAAGTAGCATATGAGGTTAAATTAAATGATTATTTTTCTTTTATTACTTGAAATTTTCCAAAATTAAATGTTTATACACAAACACACCAGAGCTGTAAACATATGGGGAAGCCCGTAGAGTATCATTAACAAAGCATGATATAATTTGGGGGGGGGGGTTACAATTTAATAAGTTAAAAATGTATAGCATTCCTATATACCAATAACAGATTTAAAGAGAGCCAAATCAAGAACAAACTGCCATTCACAATTGCTACAAAGAGAATAAAATACCTAGGAATACAATTAACAAAGGATGTAAAGGATCTCTTCAAGGAGAACTACAAACCACTGCTCCAGGAAATAAGAGAGGACACAATGGATGGACAAACATTCCATGCTCATGGTTAGGAAGAATCAATAGTGTGAAACTGGCCATACTGCCCAAAGTAATTTATAGATTCAACACTATCCCCATCAAGCTACCTATGACCCTCTTCTCAGAACTGGAAAAAAACACCTTAAACTTCACATGGAACCAAAAGAGAGCCTGCATAGCCAAGACAATTCTAAGCAAAAAGAACAAAGCTGGAGGCATCACACTACCTGACTTCAAACTATACTATAAGACTATAGTAATCAAAACAGCATGGTACTGCTACCAAAACAGAGAAATAGACCAATGAAACAGAACAGAGGCCTTGGAGGCAATGCCATACATCTACAACCATCTGATCTTTGAAAAACCTGACAAAAACAAGCAATGGGGAAAGGATTCCCTTTAATAAATGGTGTTCGGAAAACTGGCTACCAATGTGCGGAAAGCTGAAATTGGACCCCTTCTAGACAACTTACACTAAAATTAACTCCAGATGGATTAAAGGCTTAAACATAAGACCTAACACCATAAAAACACTAAAATAAAACCTAGGCAATACAATTCAAGACATAGGCATGGGCAAGGACTTCATGACTAAAACACCAAAAGCCAAAATAGACAAATGGGACCTAATTAAACTACAGAGCTTTTGTACAGCAAAAGAAACAATCATTAAAGTGAATTGGCAACCAACAGAATGGGAAAACATGTTTGCAATCTACCCATCAGACAAAGGGCAAATATCCAGAATCTACAAAGAAATAAAACAGTTTACAAGAAAAAAACAAACCCTTTCCAAAGTCAGTGAAGGATATGAACAGACACTTTTCAAAAGAAGACATATATGATGCCAACAAATATATGAAAGAATGCTCATCATCACTGGTCATCAGAGAAATGCAAATCAAAACCACATTGAGATACCATCTCACATCAGTTAGAATGGTGATCATTAAAAAACCTGGAGACAACATATGCTGGAGAGGATGTGGAGAAATGGGAACACTTTTACACTGTTGGTGGGAGTGTAAATTAGTTCAACCATTGTGGAAGACAGAGTGGTGATTCCTCAAGGACCTAGAAATAGAAATTTCATTTGACCCAGCAATCCCATTAATGGGTATATATCCAAAGGCTTATAAATCATTCTATCTTGAAGACACATGCATACATATGTTCATTGCAGAACTATTTACAATAGCTAAGACCTGGAACCAACCCAAATGCCCACTGATGATAGACCGGACCAGGAAAATGTGGCACATATACACCATGGAATTCTATGCAGCATGAAAAACGATGAGTTCATGTCCTTTGTAGGGACATAGATGAATCCGGAAACCATCATTCTCAGCAAACTGATACAAGAACAGAAAATCAAACACTCCATGTTCTCACTCATAGGCAGGTGTTGAACAATGAGAACACATGGACACAGAAAGGGGAGCATCACACACTGAGGTCTGTTGCAGGAGAATAGTGGAGGCACAGTAGGGGGTAGGGAGGTTGGGGATGGATAACATGGGAAGAAATGCCAAATTTAGGTGAGAGGGCGATAGAGACAGCAAACCACATAGGTCGTGTATGTACCTATGCAACAATCCTGCATGTTATGCACATGTACCCCAGAACCTAAAGTGCAATTTAAAAAAAATATATATATATATATATAATGTATATCACTTCCCACAATAATTTTCTAAAAAGTATTCTATAAAAACCTAAAAAGTTGCACACACATTTAAAAAGTACTTTCTAAACTGTAATTCCAAGTGTTCATGGTACCTAACAAAAAAATGATTAGTAACATAACAATGAACTTGGCACATTATGTCAGGTATTTTGTGAAACTTACTGAATCTTTACAATAACTCTTGGAGCAAGGTTTATTTACTCCATTTTTGGAAAAAGGAAAACTACAGTTTTAAAAAGATGAATAAACCTGCCTGATACTACCAACATAGTTTTGAATTTATACTCCTGCCATCTACTTTCAAAGTTTTGTTTGATGTTTTCTACTGTATTGCCACAGATACACCAGAAATACTTAGTTTGGATATTGCCAGGGAAAATAACTGAAGAAATTTATTGTCTTTGTGAGATCTGGGTTAGAACCTGTTCGAATCTCCTTACTGTTAGAATTTCAGTAACAGTGGATTACTGTTCTCAGTGATTCTAGATGATCAAAGCTAGAGAGGGCTGTAGGGTTCAGCCCTACTGGGTTCTGTGAGCCCTCTCTGCTAGTGCAGAGACAAGAAACTGTGGAAATAAAGACACAAGACACCAAGATCAAGAGAAAAAGAGGCTGAGCCCTGGGGTCCACTGCCAACCAAAGCACGGAGTGAGGCCGTGACCCAAGTGCCTGGACACTATGACTTTTATTGAGTACAAGACAGCGGGCAGGGTGAGCCTTCCCCAGTCACGTGTCTAAGGAAGGAGGAGGTGAGGTGGTGGTGGTCAAGGCTTTCAAATAGCCTTTAAGGAGTAAGTAGCAAAGCAGGGGAAAGAAATGCGTTAGCACTTTATGTTCTGCTTGTCAAAGGCTTCAAGAATTATGCTACTTTTTACTGACAAAAGAGGAACCAGATGCAGAAGTAGGGAGTGAAAGGAGATACAGATTGTGACCAATATACCACAGTACCACATAGAGACAATTAAGCCCCGGGTAACTGTGGGTTGGGCTGAGTGCTATCAGTCCTTCCACAACAGCGTTCCGGGAGTGGAGTGCTCTCTGACTCCTCCCAGGAAGAAGATGTCTCCTTCCATGGTTTGCTGAGCAGCGGGTGCTTTCCCAGCATTGGCGCTACAGCAGAACCCAAGGCGCCTTGTAGCAGCCCTTACACAGGCATGGCAGAGGGCTAATGCTCTTGTCTAGAGTCACTTTTTACAACGTTCCTTCAGTTCCAAGCTTCTTACCCTAAAGTTCCTTAATTATAAAAAAAAAGAATATATGAAAGATAAATGATTTCACTAGGCTAAATATTTGGTTATAATGCTTAGTTCTATTCTAAATCTTTTCTACGTTATTTTTTAAACTGGGGCTGGCTGAGGCCTCAGTCCCTTGCTTCAGCATTTGTGCGACCTCCCACCCAAGAGGGCAAAGAATAAAAATCTCTCCTCGTGATTTTGATTTTCCCAGATAAGTTCCTCAATAGTTGCACAATGATGCCATTGCTATGCTTCTTCTTTTAATTTTAAATGACAAATAAAAATTGCATGTATTATGGTACACAACATGATGTTTTGATAGATGTATTGTATTAGTCCATTTTCATACTGCTATGAAGAAATACCTAAGACTGGGTAATTTATAAAGAAAAAGAGGTTTAATGAACTCACAGTTCCACATGGCTGGGGAGGCCTCATAATTATGGTGGATGTCCAGGAGCAAGATTGGCCAGGTGCAGTGGTTCATGCCTGTAATACCAGCACTTTGGAGGCCAAGGTGGGTGGATCACCTGAGGTCAGGAGTTCATGACCATCATGGAGAAACCCCATCTCTACTTAAAATACAAAATTAGCTGGGTGTGGTGGCACATACCTGTAATCCCAGCTACTTGGGAGGCTGAAGCAGGAAGAATGACTTGAACCCAGAAGGCAGAGGTTGCGGTGAACCAAGATCAGGCCATTGCACTCCAACCTGGGCAACAAGAGCGAAACTCTGTCTCTAAAAAAAAAAAGAGGGACAAGATGAGATTTGGGTGGGGACACAGCCAAACCCTATCATTCTGCCTCAGCCACTTCCAAATCTCATGTCCTCACATTTTAAAACCAATCTTCCCAATAATCCCCCAAGGTCTTAACTTATCTCAGCATTAACTCAAAGGTCCACAGTTCAAAGTCTCATCTGAGACCAGGCAAGTCCCTTCTGCCTATGAGCCTATAAAACCAAAAGCAAGTTAATTACTTCCTAGATACAAAGGGGGTACATGCACTGGGTAAATACACCCATTCCAAATGGAAGAAATTGGCTAAAACAAAGGGCTACAGGCTCCATGCAAGTCTGAATCCAACAGTAGTCACCAAACCTGAAGTTCTAAAAGGAGGTCCTTTGACTCCATGTCTCAAAACCGAGTCACACTAATGCAAGAGGTGGGATCCCATGGCCTTGGGCAGCCTCGCCCCTGTGGCTTTGCAGGATACAGCCTCCCTCTCAGCTGCTTTTACAAGCTGGCATTGAGTGTCTGTGGCTTTTCTAGGTACATGGTTGAATATGTTGATGGATCTACCATTCTGGGGTCCAGAGGACAGTGCCCCTCTTCTCACAGCTCCACTAGGGAGTGTTCCAATGGGCACTTTGTGTGGGGGCTCCAACCCCATATTTCCCTTTTGCACTGTCCTAGCAGAGGTTCTCCATGAGGGCCCCAGCCCTGCAGCAAACTTCTACCTGGACATCCAGGTGTTTCCATACATCTTCTGAAATCTAGGTGGAAGTTCCCAAACCTTCATTCTTGACTTCTGTGAACCTGCAGGCTCAACAATACGTGGAAGCTGCCAAGGTTTGGGGTTTTCACCCTCTGAAGCCATGGCCCAAGCTGTACCTTGGCCCCTTTTAGCCATGGCTGGAGCAGGTGTGATGCAGGGCACCAAGTCTCTAGGCTGCACACAGCAGGAGGGTCCTGAGCCTGACCCAGGAAACCATTTTTTCCTCCTAGGTCTCCAGTCCTGTGATGGGAGGGGCTGCTAGGAAGGTCTCTGACATGCCCTGGAGATCTTTTCCCCATTATCTTGGCAATTAACATTTGGCTCCTTGTTATTTATGCAACCTTCTGTAGCAAGCCTGAATTTCTCCTCAGAAAATAGGTTTTTCTTTTCTATCACATTGTCAGGCTGCAAATTTTCCACACTTGTATGCTCTGTTTTCTCTTGAATCCTTTGCCTACTTAGAAATTTATTCCACCAGAAACCCTAAATCATCTCTCTGAGGTTCAAAGTACCACAGATCTCTAGAGCAGAAGCAAAATGCCGCCAGTCTCTTTGCTAAAGCATAACAAGAGTCACCTTTGCTCCAGTTCCCAACAAGTTCTTCATCTCCATCTGAGACCACCTCAGCTTGGACTTTATTGACTATGCCACTATCAGCATTTTGGTCAAAGTCATTCAACAAGTCTTTAGGAAGTTCCAAACTTTCCTATCTTCTTCTAAGCTCTCCAAACTGTTCCAACCTCTGCCTGTTACCTAGTTCCAAAGTCACTTCCACATTTTCAGGTATCCTTATACCAGCACCCCACTATCTGTCACCAAGTTACTGTATTAGTCCATTTTCATACTGCTATGAAGAAATGCCTGAGACTGGGTAATTTATAAAGAAAAGGAGGTTTAACAGACTCACAGTTACACATGGCTGGGAGACCTCACAATCATAGCAGGTAGTGAAGGAGGAGCAAAGGAACATGTTACATAGCAGTAGGCAAGAGAGATTGTGCAGGGAAACTGCCTTTTAATGAAACCATCAGTTATCATGAAACTTATTCACTATCACAGAGCAGCATGGAAAAACACACCCCCATTATTCAATTACCTCCCACCAGGTCCCTCCTATGACATGTGGGGATTATGGGAGCTACAATTTAAGATTTGGGTGGGTACACATCCAAACCATATCATGCATACATTGTGGAATGGCTAAGGAAAGTTAATTATACTTAAAAGACTCACATATCCCTTTCATCCTACTGGTTAATGGCTTTCCTACTCAGCAAATACTTCTTAGCCGCTTTTACATCTTTATTTCTCAAGCTATAGATTATGGGATTTAACATGGGGGTTACAACACCATAAAACATGGAAACAAGCCCTTCTGTAGCTTGCAAGTTGTCTTTCCCAAGGAGGTCTTGGGACTTAGGTTTTGCATACATAAAGAAGATGGTACCATAAAATATGATCACCAAAGTCAGGTGAGCTGTGCAGGTGGAAAATGCCTTGCTTCTTCCTGTAGCTGAGTTCATTCTCAAAATGGTATAGAGGATAAACATATAGGAGAAAATAATGACCAACAGAGGAAGAACTAGGAAAGCAATATTTGACACTGCTAGGGTAAGAATATTGAGGGATATATCCGCACAAGCTAGCTTGAGGAAAGCTAAGATCTCACATAAGAAATGATTAATAATATTGTTCCCACAGAAAGGCAATTGCATGGCAAGTGATGTTTGCACAATTGAATTGATTCCACCAGAGAGCCATGATATAGAAGTCATCAGTATATATACCACCTTGCTCATGACAATGGGGTATCTCAGCGAGTTACAGATGGCCACGTAACGATCAAATGCCATCATGCCAAGAAGCAAACATTCTGTTGACCCCATTGCAAACCCAAAGAACATCTGCACTGCACATCCAGAGAAGGAAATGTTTCTTTTCTTTGAGATTAAGCTCACCAATTTTGAGGAAACAGAGGAGGATGTATAGCAGATATCCAGGAAAGAGAGGTTTCCCAGAAAGAAGTACATGGGTGTGTGAAGATGAGAATCAAAGATGCTTGCTATGATGAGAACACCGTTGCCAATTAGAATTACTACATACATAACTAGAATCAGAGCAAAGAAAATGATCTCAAGTTTGGGGTAACCAGAGAGTCCCAGAAGAATGAATTCTCTCACAAATGTTTGGTTTATCTTGTCCTTGTCCCAGCTTTCAGGGTGTCAAAGGAAGACTCAGTATATAATAGTTTCACAACCAAGCAACAAATGTAACAATAATTTGAATAAACATTACCCTAGAATGAAAAAGAAACTGTTTGTTTTAAAGCTCTACCATTCAGTTATCTTCAATAGTATTTCTGCCTAGAATACAATCACACTAGGATGCTAAGAGTTTCTATGTCCTGTATCTGATATGTGAAGATCTACACAGGATCAGAAGTAAATTCAGACACAACGTTTCTTATTGTCAAGGACATCCCAAGTTGAGTTTTCTAAAAGCCTTACACTATTGCAGATGACAAACCTAACTTCTTCATTTAGTCAAGCCTAGTGAGAGAGATCCAAAGAAGGAAAAAGACAACTCAAGCAGAACTAGAATTTTGACCCAGTGTTTAATAAAAATGTTTCGAATTTAAAAGCAGGTTTGATGTTCATGTACATTTGTTTGTTTGCCTGAAACTCTGAATGTCTTTCCAGTCAGTTAAATATGTAATTTTATAGGGAAGACATTTGATAATAGTAAATTAAACCCCATATACTGTGATTTAACATCTTTTCAAAGGTAAAGTTAGTTGTTGATCTCATTCTAACATCCCACTCTTACTATTTTGTTATTTCCTATGACAAGACCACTGTGAAGACCAGCTCTGCAGGTATACAATGGAGAATCTTTGGAGAACAATACATGATCTGTATTTGTTTTATTCCATGGCTTCAGAGTTACTCCTGAGAATTTGTTTGTTTAAGTAAACCTTAAAAAAGAGTAGTAATAGTCAAACACATTTGTGTGTATGTGTGTGTATAGCACTTTACAAAAAGCAAATGAATCTTCTCATTATCCCTAATTTATTTTTCTCAATTGGAAAAGACAGAATGTGGCCTATAAGTAAAAAGGGGAACTTAATGCTCAGCTCTTTTGATTACAACACCAAAACTTATTTTACCTTGTTTTCACAAAGTACTATCCAAAATTTTTAGCTTTGATGGAATTTTAATTTTTCTAATTTCATATGCATATAAATCACCTGAGGATACTGTTAACTTGTAAATTTTATGTTAGCACTTCTGGGATAAGGCCTGTGATTCTTCATTTCTATTAAGTTTCCAGGGTATGTTGAACCACTAGGAAGAGGCACATTTTGAGTAGCAAGACATTGGTTCATCTATAGTGAGTTAGTAGAGAATCCAGATATTTCTGATCCAAATAGATTTTCTTTTGTGTTATAATATGGACTGGCTTGACATCCTGGAAAATGACCCAGAGTCTAATTCTTTTGTGTTTGCCAGCAAACTTCAGGGCCACATCTCGCTGTTCAGTACACTTCAGAAAATAAACACTATTGAAACATTTTATGAAAGCAGGATAAACTTTTGCTGGACTACTATAATATGTGTATGATATTACTGATGGCCTAACTTAAGCACGGTCCTATTCTAACACAAGTAAGGGTGAGAAAAGTATGACACAGCATGTCTGCCATCAATAAGTTCATAATTCAATAACAAAAATACACATAGAACAATTTGATAAAGAATATAATTATATCCTGTGGCCAGGGTGAATATTATAAGTAACTTCAGAAGGAGGAGGTAAAGAAGAAATACGTAAGTCAAGAGAAAATGCTGAAAGAATTTCAAACTTATACCAGACCTGGAAGCACAGAAGGAATGGGATAGGTTTGGAAGAGAAGAGAGAAACAAAGGTATTTCAGAAGGGAGAGTAGCTTAATGCTTTAGAGGAGCAGATTGGCAGTACCTACGTTTCAGACAGGGGAGTTTCAGTGGAAACACTCTGAAAAGTTAATGAGGCAGGAATATAGAAGGGCCCAAAGGTTAGGAAGAAAAGCAATTATATTCCCTTTTATATATAAGGGACCTATTATCAGAACACCAAGCACAAAGTGATTGTTTAGCCCCTGTGACTTTAGCTACCTTTCAAACCTGACATTATATAATTTGATTTTATGAGGTTTTGAATAGATATGTGACACAAAGAATTAAGATGCTTAGATTAATTAGGTAATTATAAATTACTGCCTGGTACACACACACAAACACAGACACACACATCAATATCATCATCATCATCTTTTCATAACTATCAGTTTTTAGATTAAACAAAATTTCAGGTTTAGGGCTCACATGGGCTAACAGTTCTGAGAATATCTGAACTGTTCAGATAGAGTAGGTTCAACCCCTACTCTAACACTCAGTTTGGTATGTGATGATAAGTGAAAAAATTTCTTTACAGAAAATAGTGTCTTGGAGTCAGAAGCCAACCCAGAGAGAGGGATTCTCACTGTGGAAACAGTTTAAAGAATACCAGTAGAGCATCTGAACTTTTAAGAGAAGCACAAATGAATGTTGAATCCCCAAATTAGAGATGAGAAAATTGAGCCTCAAAGAAATTTTGAATTTATATTTACTCAGCTTAAGACTAGAAATACCTATTAAAATGCTTTTTGTTTATTTAAGTGAAAAAAATCACTTAAACAACTTCTGTTGCAGACTTCTATGTGCCAGATCCTGTGTTTGAAATTAGCAAACCTGACAAAAACAAGCAATGGAGAAAGGATTCCGTGTTTAATAAATGATGTTGGGAAAACTGGCTAAACACCTGCAGAAAGCAGAAACTTGACCCCTTCCTGACACCTCACACTAAAATTAATTCCAGCTGGATTGAAGACTTAAACATAAGACCTAACACCATAAAAACACTACAAGAAAATCTAGGCAATACTATTCAGGTCACAGTCATAGGCAAGGACTTCATGACTAAAACATCAAAAGCATCGGCAACAAAGCTAAAATAGACAAATGGGACCTAATTAAACTTCAGAGCTTCTGTACAGCAAAAGAAACAATCATTAGAGTGAACTGGCAACCAACAGAATGGGAAAACATTTTTTGCAATCTACCCTCTGACAAACGGCTAATATCCAGAATCTACAAAGAAATAAAACAGTTTACAAGAAAAAAACAAATAAACCCTTTCCAAAGTCAATGAAGGATATGAACAGACACTTTTCAAAAGAAGACATATATGACACCAACAAATATATGAAAAAATGCTCATCATCACTGGTCGTCAGAGAAATGCAAATCAAAATTACCTTGAGATACCATCTCACACCAGTTATAATGTTGATCATTAAAAAATCTGGAGACAACAGATGCTGGAGAGGATGTGGAGAAATGGGAACACTTTTACACTGTTGATGGGAGTGTCAATTAGTTCAACCATTGTGGAAGACAGTGTGGCAATTCCTCAGGGACCCGGAAATAGAAATTCCATTTGACCCAGGAATCCCATTACTGGGTATATATCCAAAGAATTCTAAATCATTCTATTATAAAGACACATGCACATGTATGTTCATTGTGGCACTATTTACAATAGCAAAGACCTGGAACCAACACAAATGCCCACTGATGATAGACTGGACAAGGATAATGTGGCACATATACACCATGGAATACATGCAGCCATAAAAGATGAGTTCGTGTCCTTTGTGGGCACATGGATGAATCTGGAAACCATCATCCTCAGCAAACTGAAATAAGAACAGAAAATCAAACACTACATGTTCCCACTCATAGGCGGTGTCGAACAATGAGAACACATGAACACAGGGAGGGGAGCATCACACACTGAGGTCTGTTGGCGGGGAATAAGGGAGGGACAGTGGCAGGGTAGGGAAGTTGGGGAGGGATAACATGGGGAGAAATGCCAGATATAGGTACCGGGGGATGGAGGCAGAAAACCACATTGCCATGTATGTACCTATGCAACAATCCTGCATATTCTGCACATGTACCCTAGAACCTAAAGTGCAATAAAACATATATATTAGAAAAAACAATTGTCTTACCTGGCTGAGGTCACATGACTAGCATGGGCAAAAGCAATATCCAAAGGCCATTCTCCTTCCACTACTTCTCTGCCTAACAGGTAATATTAAAATCTGTATAGAAATCATGTGTCAACCACAGAGAACAGTCAGTGAGTAACACAAATAATAAACTGAGTTCATAAAGGTGAAACTTAAGTATAGTCAGTTAAAAATGTACAAGGAGAATGATTAATTCTTGAGGACTTAGTACTTCTTATCATGGAAGAAAGTTCATGGTTGTGGGATTGAAACATCTGCCTTAGAACAGTCCATTTGCTTTAAAATTTTTCTACGGCACTTCTTAGCATAGGTCAAAATTCTCCTCAAGCAGACTACAGAAATCCTTTGAGGATGCATTGGATAAGGGACATCAACACTCTAGCAGCCCAATCAGGAAAGCAAAAGGAAGAAGACAGAAAGATACTGACTTGCCAGGAAAGGGGGTGATGGTCCAGATCCCACCTAGAACTCCAGCCCAGGCCTGGAGAATCTGTTGGCTTTGCCTTCCAGACAAATGTAAAGACAATAAATTTTAGGCTATCTAGACAGGGTTTTCTGCTCCAATCCTTCCCCTCCTAGAAAGAAGTGCTCTCACCAATTCAATCCACCTTAAGCCAAGCCTGTGTTAGCTACCTTTGGTTTTCTTCTGATCCCAGCTCTTTAACTTGGTTCCCTCATGTACTGGGAGGTAACATGAGATGTGGGGAAGGAGCTTGTTTGTCTCACACATTCCTCTACACCTATGGCCTAACACAGTGGCAGCACATAAAAGATGGGTTTTTCTAGGTTCTTAAGCAATTTCCCTGGCAGTATTTACAGATTAATGTTCAGAACTTTAATATGCACAATGTGTTTATTTGCAGCAAGTCCACTGTTTTAAATATATATATATCTTTCTGTCAATACCAATAAGCTGCCATCTTATAGAGAGACTTACTGGTTCATGCACTGCAAGTATAAAGGCATCACCTAATTCTCACTTGAACAGATATGGCATGGGGTTAGCCTCGTTAAAAAGTGCTTGGGATTCAGAAACAAAACTCTTAGTTTTGAGGTTATTTTTTCATTTAACATGTAGCTTGTTTTTTATTTGTTAAATAGGTACAGAAATACCTACCCTACTTTTCTCACAGGTTTTGAGAAAAAATTGAGCTAGCATATGGAAATTGCTTTATGGATTA